ATTTGTTAAATAAATATATATTTTAAATAAAGTTAAATATATTTTATTGTATTAAATATATACTATAATTTTTAAAATTATTTCATAATCTATCATAAATATTTTTAATATGTGTATTTAAATTTTAAAAAATATTTTAAAATTATTTGAAAATTTTGAAATTATTCAATATATTTCATATTATATATTAATTTTATACGATTTTGAATGTTTCGCAATATTTTGAAAACTTTTAAAAATTTTTGAAATATTTCGCAATATTTTGCAATTTTGCAAAATATTGCGAAAATTTTTGAAATTTTGTGAATTATTGAAAATTTTTGAAAGTTTTCAAAATATTGCGAAAGTTTGCGAAATATTTTTTAAATTTTTATTTTATATATGTGTTTTTAATGTATTATATTTGCAAAAATTTCACAAATTTTTTTGCATTTTTTCAAAATATTTTGCACTATTTTGCGATTTTTAAAATTTTACAATTCATCACATCAATTGCAATTCTTTCGCAATTTTCTTGTATGCAATAACTTTTGAATTTTGTATCTATATTTTTTGCTGTTGTTCTTCTTTATTGGCAACAGATTATAAAGCAAAATTTTATTTAAAATAAAATAAATAAATAAGGAAAAAAAAAGGGAAAGAAAGAAGAAAAAAAAAATTAAATTTGCTAATTGGCTTTGTTTTTTTTTTTAAAAAAATTAATGAATTTATGATATCATATACTATAAGGTTATTTTCAAGACAAAGATCCTAACTGCTTTTATAAGGAGTTATTTTTTCTTTATTTAATTTTTTATTTACCAACAGGTTTGTATTATAATAGATGCCCATAAGTCTGAAGACACTGTTATATCAAAGCAGTATGGTATTAAGGATGCTTAAGACCCCAAAGAACAAGCTGTACTTCTTGGTATTGCATCTACAATTATGCTAACACTATTAACAAAGTATCCAGACTTTTTAGACATAAACTTTACTGGTCATTGTAACAGCTTAAATTTTCTAAACATGGCCTTTATAGTTAGATTAAATGAATCTCATAGTCGAATTGTGGCAATATTTGTAAGTAATAAAGAAACAACGCCAGTTTTTGATTTGATGTTTAAATCGGTGGGTCTTTAGTTGTTTTATACTAGGTTTTTGCTAAATTTGGCTTGATAATTCTAATATTAACTGGTTAAAGCTAATTCAATATAGTATTAAAAATGATATTCAACTAAACCCTAAATGGTTAGCAATAGATAAATGCAATCCTTATCTAATAGCAGCCAGAAAATATTTCTCCAATACGTAGGTAGTTTTGTGTAACTGACATGAGAGTGAGTTTTCTTAATGTTAATTATTCTCATTACTATATATAGTACTACCTATAGCACAAATACTGTAGATCAATTTTACTATTTATTCTATATATACATATAATCTTTAATTTTTCACTATATAAAAAATCATGTATTATAGGTAGTGCTATATAGTATTTGTATTTTAGTTTTCTTATTTTTAGAATATTACTATTTTTCTAGCTGATACACTTAAGGAATGGTTTACAAAAAATATAAATGACTAATAGATTAGAGATCGAATATTTTATCAATTTCAGTTTGTTAAGAGATCTAAAGACCAAGAAGAATTTGATTAGTGGAAGATAACTATTTTAAATCCTAAAGAGTTTTAGTCTACTATTGAAATTACCACTTAGCTATTGCAAAAACTATCACATTTTATTTTCGAATATATTGGTTTGGCGATTAGGTTAGCAAGTAAAAAAAAAATAAAATAAAAAAATAAATAAATAAAAAATTAAATTTTATATTAACATATATACTATATATTAATGTCATCACAGATACTTGACCAGATTATAGATATAATGGCTGTTCTATGAAAACAAATATGTTACTAGAGAGCTACTTTAAAAAAGATATGATATTGCATTACCAGAAAAGATATACAAAGTTTTTACACTCTAATCTCGAGAAAATAGGTATATTAATATGTGTAGATGCAGGAGAAGTTGAAAAATAAATATATACTGATTTATTTGTTTGTTTTTTTATATTTTTAAAATTAAACTTTTTTTTTTAAAGTTTTGGAATAGAGAAAGCAAGCAACCTACAAAATCAAAGTTACAATAAAAAAAAAATAAAATATATATAAAAGGGGAGCTATTATATAAAAAAAATCTTGTTTAAGGTAAATACCAATAATACATTTTATTCAACCCTTTATATATTAAACCCATGCTAAATTTTGTTTATTATACTGTAGGTTTAATATATTAAATATCTTATATTTAAATTTTTTGCTATCATATACAGTATAATTTGAGTGTATATATATTCATAACTATTAACTCTTTAAATTTTAGAGATTGACCAGAATGCTTGGATTGTGTTCTGTTTTAGTATAGATATTCAACATATTGCTGCTGAATTGAATGATAGTGATTCTGATAAAGAAGACATGAATCTAAGATATCTAATTTATTTGATCAAGAGAAAACATTATATATTACACATAGAAGTGAAAAATTTGCTTGCCCATATGGTTTAAATATAATCTGCAGATACAATTATCAGGATATTATAGCTGTTCACTTCTTTATTAGTGAGTTGAAACTGCAAAAGTATGTTTTATTTTTTATTTATTGAATTCTTTTCTTATATTAATATTGCTAATATTTCTTTTATAGTACTTCATTTTCTAATAGTAAATCAAAGCCAAAAAGGTAAAAAATTAGTTTAATATTTTTTGCTGAATTTTACCAAAGTATAAGAAATTTAAATTAGTAAATTGATAATATTAATTTATTTTTTATTTTATTTTATTTTTTTTCCTATATAGACCTATTGCAAGCAGTTCTCTTAAGTCTTACTTTCGTTAGAAGGATGATAATGATCATAATAAAAATGAGCTTAAATTACTTAAAAAAAGAGGTTCTAAAAAATAAGAAAAAAAACAGATTGGTACCAGGAGAGCAAGTTCATCTTCAAGATACAATTTTGGATGTGCCTTACAATAAGGTGCAGATTGTTGAAGTTATTGGTAAAGGCAAGGTTATCGTAGATATTACATTTGAAAGCAGTAATACAAGACAATATGTAGTTCAACTAGCTAACATAATTGGGTATGCCAATGAACAAGTAAAAAAAAAAAAAAGATAATGTTACTATATGGAATATTTGCTAGAAGAATAACCTCTTGAATTATATAGATATTATTACAGCTGTTTTCGAAATAGTAAGGATTTACAAAAAAAAAAAAAAATTATGCGAATACTCGAATACTCGATTAGTTTAGAACCGAAACGATGATTGATTCCCCGATTTATCTATGTACTCACGTAATTGTTATTACTAAACAATTACACAACCATGCATGTGCGTTGTGTAAATATATTTTTATTTT